GTTGCATAGATTGTGTTGATGCCTTAATTGTACAGGAAGAAGTTATTTTCCAAATGTCAAACTCCAGTGTGCCATAACTGGGCCCCGACACTTCTGATCCCCAATAGATTGAAGAGATAGGATCTTGTTTGTTTGTTTGTTTTTGGTTTTTTGAGACAGGGTCTCACTATGTAGTTGAGACAGCCTTGGAACTCACTATGTAGCCCAGTCTGGTCTCGAACTCACAGCGATTCTCCTGCCTCAACCTCCCAAGGGCTGGGATTACAGGTGTGCGCCACCACGCCCGGCTTGAAGAGATAGGATCTTGCAACAGGCTCAAAACCCAAAAGCCAGCTACACCTGGAAGGCATCTGCGAGAAGTAGTAATTAAGATCCTTACATGGAAAACTACAGTACTGTGAAAAAGGAGACCAAAGAGGATATCAGAAAATGGAAAGATATCTCTTGTTCTTGGGTAGGAAGAACCAATATAGTGAAAATTGCTGTATTTCCAAAATTTTTAGACAGATTTAATGCAATACTGATCAAAATATCAATACTGCACAGAATTGGAGAAAAAGCTACAACACTACCTTTAATAATATGTTATTGAATGCATCTTACCCTAACATCAGCAACAAGACATGTCTTCTGTCACTTTTCTTCAATATTGTGCTGAAGGTCTTAACCAATTAAAAAGGCAAGATAAAGTAATAAAAAGCATATATATTAGAAGGAATAAATCAGTTATTATTCATAAATGACACAATTAAATATATTGAAAATTCAATGGAATCTAAAATACTAGAATTAACAGCTGAGTTTAGCAACACAGCAGAACACAAAATCACTGTATGAGATGTATTTTATTTCTACATAGAAAATAAACTATTGGAAATGGAGATTAAAGATATGTAATTATTTATCAAAAATAATTTTTATAATTATTTAAAAATAAATTAAATCAAAACTTTAAAATAAAATCTATCATTTACAATAGCATCAAAACATCAATGCTTAGGGATAAATTTAACAAGATATATGCAAGATTGTACTCAAAACTATAAAACACTATAGAAAAATTTTTAAAAATAAATGTAAGGATAAGCCATGATTTTGTTTAGATGTTCAATATGTCCAAATTGCTTTACAGAATCCATGCATTCCCCTCACAAATCCAAGTAGACATTTTGGTAGAAACTGAGCAGATATTTAAAGGGCCCGAAAAAGCTGAAATGATTTTGAAAAGAAGGATAAGTTCAGGGGACACTGTGGCATGATTTTTAGAATATGTACCTGGAAAAAAGTGAAACTTTTTTTTTTGGTCTTTAACACACACCATACACAAAAATCAATTCAAAATGGGTCATACATCCAAATGTTAAGCTAAAGCTGTAAAACTTCTGGAGGAAACCACCAGAGAAAGATCTTTGGAGTCTTGAGATTGGTAACGATACCTTAAATAGAGCACAAGAAATATGAGTCATAAGAGATAAGATGATAAATTAGATGTTATCAAAATTAAAATTTTACACTCTTCAAATGATATCATTAAGAAAATTAAAAGGAACCAGGTGTTGTGGTGCATGCCAACAATCTCAGTATTATAGGCAGCTAAGTTCAGTAGAAATTAATAAGCAGTCAAACAGGGATAAGCCCTCAAGGGAGTCAGTGCCAAAGATGAGAATACTTTACAACTGTGGCTGGAGGCACACTTGTTTAAGGCTAGGCTTCAAGAGAAAGACGCAAAAGCCAGACCTACATATGTCCCTAAGGGATAAACAGTAACATGGAATTATACAATTATACAATAAATAGCACCACCTGGTCCAGGAAGTCCAGATTGTCCAGTCACCTGGATGGGTGACCACAGCATGGTAATCCATCCCTTCCCAGAAATACTTTTATTCTTTCCATGTACCTTTGCTACGTGACCCACTTCCCTATTGGATCAATATTAACTAAGCAGCTATACTTGTAATCCTATAGGTTGATTATAGTTTGACCTTGTTGTACCCACACTGTGATTTTGCTGTATAAATTAACCCTGACAAAGGGTCTCAGTGGCAATCCACTATCATGGCCCCTCCTGTCTTTCAGGAGTTATTCCTCAAAGCATGTTTCCTACTCTAGACCTCCTTATCTTAACTATCCCTTACAATTCATTCTTCAATTTTGGAAGACACGAACTCAGCACATCTAACATGTAGCAGGTTGGGAGTTACATATCTCCTATATCACCAGCACTTCGGTGATGAAGTAAAAGGATCTTGAGTTTGACCTCAAGGCCAGCCTCGATTACATAGCCTACATATGATATGATGATATGAAATGATACATGATATATAATATATATTAATCCCACCCATAAAACAAATACATTGTTTCATAAATATATGCAAATTTTGAAAAAGGAAAATGAAAAAGGAAATTAAAAGTGAGAAAATAGGCCGGTTGTGGTGGTAAACACCTGTAATCCTGGCACTTGGGAGGCTGAGGCAGGAGGATTGCTATGAGTTTGAAACCAGCCTGGACTACATAGGGTGTTCCAGGTCAGCCTCAACTACATAGTGAGACCCTGTCTCAAAAAAACAAAACAGAAAAGTGAGAAAATAGTATATTGACAAAAATTTTCATTTAAAATATATAAAAACCTCTACAACTCATTAAAAAGAAATAATCCATTTTTATAATATGCAAAATATTTGAGGAGACACCATAAAAACAAGACATGAAAGCCTGATGTGCACATGAAAAGGTTCATTCCAAAAAAGTGCAAGATAAAACCACAAGGAGCTACTACTACACATCTGTTAGAATGGTTTTAGACTGAAAATTCCAACTAATGGGGGATATGGAGCAACTGGAATAATAATGCATTGCTTGTGGAAATATAACACATTGGAAAGCAGTTGTAGAGATACTTTAAAATTAAACAGATATCATATTACAAAGTGATTCCACTCATATTTTTGCCAATGAAATGAAAGAATATGAACAAAATGTTCTTAGAAGGTTTGTTTTTAATAGCCAACAACCTAAATGATTACCAAGTGGTAAATGAAAATATATATCCATACAATGAAATAAGTCTAGCAATAAAAGGAATGAACTGTTGATACACCGTAACAATATGAATGATTTTGAAATACTATTTTAAAATAAAATAATACATACTGTATGATTGCAACAAACCACAAATTTAATCTGAGGAGACAGAAATGACATCGGGGGTACTCTGGAACCAGAACTGGGAAGAGAGATGAGGAAAGGACACAGTGAACTGTTGGAGTTGGTGGAGAGAATCTATTTGCTGCTTGTAGCAGGAGTTCCATAGGTGTACATATTTGTCAAAATTCATCGAATTTTACACTTAAAATGGTGAATTTTGTTGTTTTAATATTTGACCCAGGGCCCGGGATTTGGCTCAGTGGTTCCACCTCCTGCCTCGCAAATGCAAGGTCCCGAGTACCATCCCCAGCACCAAAAACAAACAAACAAACAAACAAACAAACAAACAAAACAAAAAACAAAAAACCAACACAAAAAACAAAACAAACCCTCACTTTTCGTTTTAATAAAAACTGTATCTAGAGAACAAAAGGAGGTAAAGAAGCTAAGGGTTTTGAGTCTGGGTTACAGGGTGGCCATGCGCAGAATCCGGCTGCTAGGATGGAATGCCAATAAGAAAAGAGCACTTGGTGGTGAAGTAACCTACCCACCTATTGCCTATAATCTTGGAAATATTTTCCTAATAAGCAAAGACAAACTTTTTGAAATATTTGTTGCCTTAGAATAATTTTAGGAAAACAAAGAAGTACTCATTAAGGTGAAAGTTGATTATTACTTACAGAAATGTGGTTGGAAATCTTCAATACTAAGCTAGCCAAGTAGAAGTCAAAAAGAAACTAGACTAGCCATGGAATTCTGTAATGGGAAGAATGCATGGTCCAGAGCCTGTGAAACTGAAGCCTGAATTTATTTCCCAAATAATGTGCTCTATGGGCAATGTTAACTCCTTGATTGAAATGTGGCATTTGAAATGTGGATATCCAAGAGCCAGGAGAGTTGAGAACACTTGAAATTTTCAACTCATTTGAAACACAATGTGCTTTGCTCCCCAGCACCCTCACTGGATAAATTTATGATTTTTTTTTCTCCTTAGGAGGCCATCTCAGGAGCTATGGACATAATGAAGGTGGAGGGGACACAATGTGCTAAGGAATTTCAGAGCAAAAAAGGTACCCATTGTTCCATCCCAGCATAGTTTGCCTTCCTTCAGCATCTGCATCGTTGGCCATTAAAGGAATGAAAATGGCCATCCAGTTTTTCTGGCACCATTTATTAGAAGAGCTTTTGTTTTTCAGTAAATGTTGTTGATCTCTTGGTTAAAAGTCTTTGACGGCATGGTTCAGTTGTAAAATTCTTCTGTTCTGTTGATATTTCTGTTCTTAGGCCAATGCTACACTGTCTTCATTACTGTAGCTTTGTAAATTTTTAGTAAACTGAGTAGTACACTTCTCCTTACTTCCTTTTAGTAGTGGTTTGAAATTTTACATATTTTGTAAAATTGTATTGTATTATATTTTGCCAACTTTACTCCTAAATATTTCCTGTTTGGGATGTTATTATAAGTGGTATGTTTACATTTTGATTCCCATTCATCCTCCAAAGAACCTTCAGGTAGTATAATACTAAAAGCCTGAGTACTTTAAGATTAGGAGCACTGCACAAATGTCTTCTTTCACTGCTTTTACAGCATTATACTGGAGACTGTAGTCAGTCCAATAAGAAATAAAAAAGAAGGGAAAAAGAAATTAAGGACATACAGTTTGGGAAGGAAAAAATAAAACAATAAATAAAAGAAAAAATTATTTGGTAGCTGTAGAACAGAACAAACCACTCAGATACACAATAAAATGGGTGAATATAAAAACATTATGGTCAATCACAAAGGGCAGGTATGTTTCATTTATATGCAGTTCTAAGAAAAGTGAAAGAGATCTATAGTGCACCAAACCAGGTCAGTGTTTGGCAAGGGACAGGAGTGTGGAGGAAACCTTTGGGGCAGATGGAGCATTCTCTTTTCTTGACTGGATGGAGGTACACAGTCAAATGTATTTGCCAGGGTTTTTTGGGTGGGCTGGGGATTTGGCTCAGTGGTTCCATTGCCTGCCTTGCAAGCACAAGGGCTTTTTCTTTAAAATGTTCACTGAAAATACATGTATTTTATACTGTATATTCACTTCAAAAAAGTTGGTGACACAAATTCCCAGTTCATATTTTAATTTCCCTGGCAGTTTTATAACTGGGTTTGTGAGACTAAGAAAGGAATGAAGAATGATAAAAATGGAATAGGGCCGGGGATTTGGTCAGTGGTTCCACTGCCTGCCTCTCAAGCGCAAGGACCAGAGTTCTAAAGTGGACTAAAGTAAAATTAAGTTGTTTATTTCTTTAATTGCTTCAAAACATAACTGAATGTCTCAAGAAAAAATAGTATTGGGTGTTTATCACTGATATAGAAATAAATAGTGTGACAACCATGGCACACAAGATAGAGGGGATATACTGTTATTGGGTCCTTTGGCAACACATAAAAGTAAACGCTAATTAATTAAAAATGTACCTTTTAAATCCAAGGACAAAATATGCATTGCCAATTATAAGTCATAAAAGAAGATAAGAAAAGTTGGGCATGGTGGCACATGCCTGTAATCCCAGCACTCCACAGGGTGAGGCAGGAGGATCACAGATTCAAGGACAGTCTGGCTACATAGCAAGATCTTGACTTGAAAAATCAGTACACCAGCCACAAAAAGTATAAAAAGATAACATTAAAAAATCACATTTTAAAAATTCAATTCATATAAGAGAAGGCATAAAGGGAGAAAAGAGAAACAATGAACAGATGGAAGAAAACATCTGCAAAACAGTAAACTTTAATCCAGCCATATCAATGATCACATCAAATGCTAATGGTCTGAAAACACAGTTACAGTACATATAAGAATTTTAAACTGATTGAAGAAACAAGACCCAACTATATGCTGTCTACAAGAAATGCCTTTAAAGATATAGATAAATAGGTTAAAAGTTAAACAATATGCGAATCTAACTTAAAAACCAAAATGGTATATTAGCACCAATTTCAGTACAAAATAAATGATCAGGAATGAAAGACATGGCACAGGCATAATGGAATTATCCAAAAAGACACAACAATCCTAACTGTGTCTGCTCCAGCCCCTCAAAAATACATGAGGTGAAAAGTAGTGACATTAAAATGGAGAAATAGACAAATTAATTGGAGATCTTATTATCTTTCTCTCAGTAACTGATTGCACAAGTTAGGACATAGATGGCCTAAACAGCACAACCACATGACTAAACCAGATTGACATGTATCGAATATTCCACATAACAGCAGAATACATTTCCAAGTCCTCACAGATGGACTGTAGTTTGGGCTATTAAACAAATAGTTTAAAGAAGAGAAAAAAACAAAAACAGAAATCACACAGTG